AGAAGCTTCATCTGACATCATACAGTAATAACGTAGTCGAATAATCCTGAATATCGCACTATCGTAGTAAGTTAAAATATATCGTTGAAAATGTCATTATGAAATCTACATCAATTCAACCGGTGTATTTCTTTAAAAAAATCCATAGCCTTATTATGGGTTTTACAGGTAATAATGACTTAAACAAACCGGAGACGGCGAAAAGTGGATTGCAGAGGTCCGTCTGGCTACGTTGAATGTATGTGGGGCAATGAATGATAAAATGGATGAAGTATGCGATATGATGTATGATAGAGGAATAGATGTGTTATGTGTAAATGAGACGAAAAGGAAGGGGAAGGATGTCACTACACATGGCATGTATACCGCATACTGGTCTGGTGTAGACGAGATCGAGCGGGCATGCCAGGGGGTAGGTATCATCCTTTCAGAAAGAATGGGCCAATGTGTGAAAGAGTATGAATGTGTAAGCCCAAGACTGCTATGGATACGAATGAAAGTGGGCTTAAAGAAGTTGTTTGTGTTAGGGGTCTACGCCCCAGACATGTCTAAGCCCACTTATATCCGAGAGCAATTTTGGGAAATGGTAAGGATGGTGTTAATGAATGTAAGGGAAATGAAAATATTATTATGCTAGGAGATTTTAATGGAAGGGTTGGGGTGAGGAGGCTTGGTTATGAAAGGATATTGGAAACGTTTGGTGATGAAAGTATAAATGAGAATGGTGAAAGTCTCCTCACCGTATGTATGGAAAAGAATCTTTTTGTGACGAACACTTGCTTTCGCCACAAGAGGATTCACATGTATACTTGGGAAAGAGGTGACTATAGAAGCATGATAGATTTCATAATTGTGGATGAAAGATTGAGGGGCGCAGTGGTAGATACAAGGGTTTACCGGGGTTCTAACGTAGGAACGGATTATTATTTGGTTTTATGCCGAATTAATGGTCTATTCAGGCGTTGGCGCCATCGATCATCTGTATCTACCACTGCGTTACAGCGTATTAGAACAGAAAGGTTACAAGATGAAGGTGAGAGAAACAAGTTCAAATGTAGACTGAAAGAAAATATAAGTGGTTTGGATGAATTATGTATGAAGGAGTTAGACTTGGAGAATGTATGGCAAAATGTAAAGAAAGGTTTAGCGGATGCAGCTACCGAAGTATGTGGTGTTAGTAAGAGGAAGAATGAAAGGAAAAATAATACGTTATGGTGGGATGATGAGATACGTATGGAAGTTGAAGCAAAGAAGAGAGCATGGCTAGATTTACTAGCAACAAAGGCTGGTAATTCTAGCGGTACGAATAATGATATTGAAAGAAAAAAGGCAGTCTTTAAACATCTTAATAAGAGAGTAAAAGAAGTAGTTGAAAGAAAAAAGCAAGAAAGAACGGATAAGAATGATAGAATAATATCGGATAACTTCCAGGCAAATATTAAAATGTTCTGGAAACTTGTAAGAACTGCCAGGGGACATTCAAAACAGACTATGATGAATGCTATAAGAGACGAGAATGGCTATATTCTGAATGATGAAGTTTTGAGTTTAAAGAGATGGAAAGAATATTTTGAAAGCGTGTTTATGAGTGAGAAGACAACGTGTGTACTAAGTGAAGTAGAAACTCCGAAAGAAGAGGAAAGAGGTAGCGAGATAAGTATAGATGAAATAATGAAAGCAATGAAAAGCATGAAAACAGGTAAGGCTGCCGGATATGATAGAGTTTCACTCGAAATGCTGAGGGCTGGAGAGGAAGTCGTGGCAGGCCTGCTGCACACCTTGTTTAATTTATGCTGGGAACTGAAGCGGGTACCGGTAGACTGGTGCAAAGCCATGATAGTCCCAGTATATAAAGGAAAAGGGTCGCAGCAGGACTGTAAAAACTACCGTTGGCATCAGCCTTCTTAGCATTGTGGGAAAACTGTATGCTAAGGTACTGATTGAAAGGGTCATGAAAGAAACTGATGGAAAAATTTGGTATGTGCAAACGGGATTCAGAAAGGGAATGGGATGTACAGATCAACTCTTTTCCATGCGCATGATCGCGGAGAAGTTTTTGGCCAAAAACCAAAAGGTTTTTTGTGCGTTCATGGACTTGGAAAAGGCCTGTGACAGAGTGGATAGGGATGTGCTATGGCAAACACTGAACTCATTTGGGTTGAGCGCTGGCTTGATACAGGCATTGGGGTCTCTTTATAGGGACTCTAGTGCTTGTGTTAGGATCAACGGGGTCTACTCGGACTGGTTTGACATCCATAAAGGTGTCAGACAGGGCTGTGTGGCTTCCCCGTGGCTGCTCAACCTATTTATGGACAGTTGTTTGCAAAATTTGAAAGTTGAAGAATGCGGATTAAGAATGCGTGAGTTAACCGTCAAATGGCTTTTGTACGCCGATGATCAAGTTATCCTTGCGTCGTCGGCGGCCGAGTTGCAAATGATGGTTACATTAATGAACAGATCATTAAAAGAAAGGTGTATGAAAGTGAACGCAAGTAAGACGAAGGTTATGGTTTTTGAAAGAGAAGAAAGTAAAACGATTTGTGAAATAAGAATAGAAGGGGAGTTAATCGAGCAAGTAGATGAGTTTGTATATATGGGCTGCGTATTTCGCAGGGATGGGAGATATGATAAGGATATAGAACGACGAGTGAATGCGGGAAATAGAGTAAATGGGGCCCTGCACTCTATTGTGAAGAGTCAGTATGTGTCGAAAAAGGCACGTATGGCAATTCACAATGCTGTGTTGGTCCCTATTTTAACGTATGGTAGTGAAAGTTGGGTGTGGCAGAAGAAGCACTAGAGTAGAATGAACGCAGTAGAAATGCGGTTGTTAAGGAGTATGTTAGGGCTGAATCTTAATGACAGGGTAAGAAATTGTGTAATAAGAGAAGAGTGTGGTTTGCAAGATGATGTTGTGACCAGGATTAAGAAAGGAATGCTTCGGTGGTTTGGTCATGTGGAAAGAATGAATGAGGAAAGAGTGACAAAGAAAATTTATGTTGCAGAAGTGAGTGGCAGAGTCGGAAAGGGACGTCCTAGGCGAAAATTTATCGACCAAATTGACGATTTATTGAAAACGGGCCAAATTAGGAGTACCCTTAACCGACGAGCATGTATGCGTAGGTGTATGGATGTGAAGGAGGCGAGAGAGGTGTGTCAGGATCGTGCCAAATGGAAGTCTGTAGTCTCTGCCTACCCCTCTGGGTGACAGGCGTGAGTGTTTATGTAATGACTAAACATGTAATCAAGTACCCCTTCAAATATTTTATTTATTTGTGTTTGTCTTGTTTTTTTTTTCCTCTCTGCTCTCTCAAATATTAAGAAACATTCATTCATTAATTACAGCGTGTCAAAAGTCCACTGGTGATCATAGGTCTTTCCATAGATTTGGGAAATATTTGCCTTAGTTGCCTCTTAGCAAGTGAAGAGACCTCTAAGGACGAGTCCTATGACGGCATTTTGAAACGCAGCCACTGCTTCCTCGGCGTCCATAAAACGTTTTCCTTGAAGTTTTTCTTTTATTTTCGGAAATAAATAAAAATCGCAAGGTGCGACTGTCGGGGTTATAGGGCGGGAGACCCAGTAACTCCACGTCTGACGTCGCCAAATAGTTGATATCGCCAACAGTTTGCTTGGCGGTGTGCGACGAGGCGTTCGTGGTGAGGGAGGATCCTACTGCGAGGTCGTTTCTCCCGAACTTTTTCCAAGACAAGTGGCAAACAATTGTTAGTGTACCACTCTGCAGTAACTGTTTTTCGATCCTCTAAAACAATTGTTGCGTAATGACCTGTCCTTCTGAAGAACGAGGCCACCATCTTTTTTCCCACGCTTCGTCCTCTCTTCACTTTAGTTGGCAAGTTTTCGAAAGGAAACACGCAGACAGCAGACTGTCTCTTAGTTTCAGGGTCATAACAAAAAATCCAGCTTTCGTCCCCCCGTAAGTATGTCGAACACAGCATTTGAGTCATCTCCGTCAAATCTTTGAACCATGTCACGACACCAATCAAAAAGACGGAGTTTTTGGGCCTCTGTCAAATTATGAGGTATCCTCCAGGCACAAAGCTTCCTGACCTCTAAATGCTCATGGAGAATTTTGTGCACTTGACTCATACCGATGCCTAAGTTTGTCCTGCTGATCTGCCTGCTGATAAGTCACTCTTTTGTCGGTCTCTATCATACGCCGCACAACACTGATGTTATCTTCAGTCGTCGCCATAGAAGGCCGCAGATCATCGGTGAAATTATTGCGACCACGTTAAAACTAACTAAACCTGTTGTAAACAGTGGCACGAGATGGGGCTTCATCGTGAAAGGACAATCGAAATCTTTCATTACTTTCTTGTTGACTTAAATGACATAGAGTCATAAAAAGTCATTGTATGGAAATTTCCTCGCGTTAAATTCATGTTGACGTAACACAGACAATTTTCAATTTGCCACAGTAAACAAGTGACAAATTAACCTCTTAGCTACCAAGCGGCCGAATTCGGTCGCGGCGATATTCCGTCAAATACAAAGTTACTGAATTTGGCCGCACACACCCACGGCACTTTAACCCATAAATACTTAGGGTTAGAGACTACTTTTCTATTTTTTGTGTGAATATAATTTATCTTTTTACGTAAATAATTTATAAATAATAGTGATTTTCACGCTGCCGACATACGCTTGGTATGTACCCGTTTTTTGTTATCAAAATACAATAAAGTCTTTTTGTAATGAAGTAAAACCTGACTTTTGTTTAGACCACAGGATAGAGAATTTTGTATAGATATGTATATTCGAAACTGCACACGGTGTGCAAATTTGATTAAAATCGGTTAAGTAATTTAGGAGTCCACCGCGAACAAGCAACTTGACACGTAATTTTATATATATATATATATATATATATATATATATATATATATATAAATAGGAAAGTATATCGGTTGTTTGACGATCATAATAACGTGTGGCTGACCGAAAAAGTACGTCTACAAGTAACCGTTTGGATGTAGGTAAAGATGACGACGACAAGCGCGTCGTGAACAACAAGCTGCGGCTGGTGCAGCTGGCGGGCGAGGCGCGTGGCAAGCGGGCGCTGTGCGCGTGGCAGCACCGCGCCGCACTGCAGCTGCGCGCGCGAGCACGCCGCCGCGCTGCTCAGCGGCGGCCCGCCCACGCACGAGCGCGCGCGTCACCGCCCTACGCGCGAGCCCGGTCAGTACACGCGCAGTACTAAGCTCAGTGCTCAGCACTCAGTAACCAGAGCGCGCAGCGGCTCGATTCGTCAAGGAATTTCGTCGCCGCCTAGCCCCGGCCTCCAGTAGACCCAGTTTCATACAAAATGTATAGAACAATGTCTATATACGGTGAAGCTACGCTGCAGCTATATTATGCTTGTAGCACGTATGGGCCAGTTTGGCCGGGAAAGGAAGGAGCACGCTCTGACAGAATATCAATGTATATAGCAAACTTGATGCTGCTTAATGTGTTTTCTATGAAGAGTGTAGAAAACCGGAGACCGTATTTTACTGGAAATTCCATTTCATTCTATTCCATCTGTCTTCAGGGCAGGGATGACAACGCATCATCTCTATTTTGATTCTTAATCGAGAATTAATCAAAATGTTTATGAGCCACAGTATCTTACTATCTTTGACTTTTTGGACTTTTGGACTTTGTTCCTTTATCATCCCTATTCTATAAAAAAACGCGCTAACGCTTAGTGTTTAGCACTCGGCGCTCAGTGCTCATAACTCGGCGCTCTACTCAGCGGCGTTCTGAGCGCCGCGATCCACGGACTAATTTCGTCCCGCTCCATTCTGTCCGGCCTCCAGTCGGCTTAATTTCATACAAAATGTATATTAGGCAGATTTTTGTGTTGTGATACGGCCCGACCCGCCCCTTTTAGTGTATGTCTACCATAATAGGCGGCTTATTATAGTCGACCGAATTATAAATTCTAGCCAGATATACCACTAAGGATACATGAACCCCAGATTTGACAACTGCACTTAGTACGTACATACATAATGGGTTTTTCAACAAGAACTTTGTTTTCTAAAACAAAATAAAACAAAGAGTTTAGATGAATATGTTTCAAATTTTTATTGTATTACGAAGAGAAAAGTTTGGCAATTATGAATGAAAAATGATATCTGTAGAATTCGTATGTTATGTGTAGAAAACAGTAGGCCCTTTTTACTGGAACCGAGGCATTCCATCTTAGTCCTAAGGGATGACAGTGCATCTGCATTTTGATTCTTAATCGAGCATAGCTGTAGATGTCTATGAGCCACAGCATCACTTACCATGAGTAGGTGGACTGTGTGCTCGTTTCGTCTCGTCACCCTTATTCAATAAAATTAAAAAAAAAAACACTTTTTCAAGCTTAATTCTGGTATTTTGTCTTATTGTTTTTATAATAATTTTATTGGCTTGTATTTTATTTATTAATTTATTGTTTATTTCTCTTACAAATCATATTGTGTTCAAAAAAAATCATAATGTCCACCACGACCACGCTGACAGATGTCGATTCTTTCATCAAAGTTTTTAATCACTTTTTGACAAAATGGCGGGTCTATTTCGTTAATCACGTCACAGAGTTTGAGTTTTAAGGCCGCGATCGATTCGATTGGCTCCGTATAGACTCTGTCCTTAACATAGCCCCACAAAAAATAATCCAGTGGTGTTAAATCACACGATCTGGCTGGCCATTTAACAGCTGAATTTCGTGAAATTATGCGATCGGGAAATTTGGTTTGCAATAAATTGATCGTTTCGTTGGCTGTGTGACATGTGGCACCGTCCTATTGAAACCACATGGTTGTGATATCGATGTCATCAATAATAGGACAAAATTGAGATGTTAACATCTCGCGATAGCGTGATCCATTGACCGTTACTGCATTTCCAGCCTCATCTTCGAAAAAAACGGCCCAATCACGCCTCCAGACCACATAGCGCACCATACAGTGACACGTTGAGCATGCAAAGGCTTCTCAATAATCGCTTTAGGATTTTCAGAAGCCCAAATGCGGCAATTGTGCTTGTTGACGTACAATTGACAACATTACAATTGACTGACAAGTGAAAATGGGCTTCGTCTGAAAAAATGATTTTTTCAGAAAAACCAGCGGGCTGTTCCTGAATGAATTGAGCGAATCTACGGCGATGTGAATGGTCGGTCAGCTTCAATTCCTGCACCAGTTGAACCTTGTAAGGCTTCAAAGCCAAATCCTTACGCAAAATTCGCCATGTGGTGGTTTTGGATAACCCCAATTGTTAAGAACTTCGAGGAATTGACAAATTTGGATCTTCTTCAACACTGTGGCTCACGACTGCGATGTTTTCGGTTGAACGACCCGGTCGAACACGTGTTGGTGTTGGCACTTTTTGTACCGAGCCTGTTGATTCAAATTCTTAATAGCGGTCTCAGAAGGACGATTATGTTGTCCGAAAATATCACGAAACGTAACTTTAACAGAATCACCATTTTCATAGTGGATTTTAATTATTTTAATGCGATTTTCGAGTGAAATTGAATTCATTGTAGCAATTGCCAAAGCATCTACTACGAATAGGTCAAAAAACTAAATGTCAAAACTGTCATGTTGTTGGTGTTGCCCCAATTGAAAAACAAAGTTCTTGTTGAAAAACCCTTTACATAAACACTCACGCCTGTCACCCAGAGGGGTAGGCAGAGACTACAGACTTCCATTTAGCACGATCCTGACACACCTCTCTCGCCTATTCCACATCCATATACCTACGCATACATGCTCGTCGGTTAAGGGTACTCTTAATTTGGCCCATTTTTAGTATATCGCCAATTTGGTCGACAAACTTCCGCCTAGGACGTCCCTTTCCGACTCTTCCATTCACTTCTGCAACATATATTTGCTTTGTCAGTCTTTCCGCATTCATTCTTTCTACATGACCAAACCACCGAAGCATTCCTTTCTTAATCCTGGTCAATGCATCATCTTGCAAACCACACTCTTCTTTTATCACACAGTTTCTCACCCTGTCACTCAGATTCAGCCCTAACATACTCCTTAGCGACCGCCTTTCTACTGCATTTATTCTACTCTCGTGCTTCTTCTGCCACATCCAACTTTCACTACCATATGTTAAAGTAGAGACTAATACAGCATTGTGAATTGCCATACGTGCCTTTTTTGACACATTCTGACTTTTCACAATAGAGTGTAGAGCCCCATTTACTTTATTTCCTGCATTCACTCGTCGTTCAATATCCTTATCATATCTCCCATCTCTGCTGAATACACATCACAAATATACGAACTCATCCACTTGCTCAATTAACTCTCCTTCTATTCTTATTTCACATACCGTTTTGCTTTCATCTCTTTCAAAAACCATCACTTTCGTCTTACTTGCGTTCACTTTCATTCCCCTTTCTTTTAATGACCTGTTCATTAATGTAACCATCATTTGCAACTCGGCCGCCGACGACGCAAGTATGACTTGATCATCGGCGTACAAAAGGCATTTGATGGTTAACTCACCCATTCTTAACCCGCATTCCTCACTTAGTGTGTGTACATCATATAAGCGACTAATTATATTTTTTGTTTCCAATTATAGCAGGTATAGCAGCACTACCATCAGGTGAGCGACTCTCGCCGTTGGATACATTCCTAGACCTACTGACAGCGAAAGCAAGCCTAAATGAACTGGACTTCAACCTCATCATAGAGGCAACTCTCGCTTCTATACAGCAAGAAAAAGCTACTTGAACAAATCAAATAACTGTAAGGAGAGGAACAGATGGAGAGAGAACAAGAGTTATTATTTCTCTACAATTCCTAATGACATTTTAATAAATAACTAAACATCCCAAATTTGGTGATAATTATTATAAGTTAAAATAGGTTACAATCATGTCACATCACAGTCAAGTTGTTTTTATGACAATGTTCTTGTTAAATGGTTTTTCCGATTGAATAATGGATGATTTCGTTATACTCTTAAGTATGTAAAATTTAATGTTTATATAGATCTTCTATCTATGCCCCATTACCAAATTATGGTAGATAAACATTGAGCTATTATGTACTACGTACTAGAGGAGACACTGCATTCAGCTACTCTGTTCCACTCAACTGCGGTGCATGCACTGCACTTTAATCAGTCACTCGCTAGGCGCTTGTAGAGTTGTCACGTGTTGTGTTGATTTAAAAAAAATCTCTTGATAAAATATGCCGTCTTGTGTACTTAGATATTGCACAAATAATTCAAGAAATGTCAGTAAAAACCAAGGAATTACTTTTCATCGGTTAATAAGATACTTATTCAATAAAAAAGTATTATAAATTAATAATAAAGCAAATTATTCCTAAGACGCCATCTCGTATCATTGAATATAGATTATGAAATTAATATGTTCAGATGCGACATTTCTGTGGGTACTTAAGTTTAGGACGAATATATTATTATACTACACATTTTTTTTGTAGAAACATATAAGTTATTATAATTAAGCTAAATTTTTCATGTTTAAATCTGCTTATTATTCTTTTATTTTATTTTTAGGTTTTCACTTCAAAGTCAAAGTGGAATAAATTCGTCCATTTTTAACTCTCGCGTGCCCAGCATTTATGAACGATTATTTACAACATTTATGATTCTAATTTAAATAAATATATTTGTAATTTAAATTTTATGTTAATAAGTTTTGTTAAACATACATTTAGTACGTTTTTTTATATTTGACATAGATACCTTTTAAAATATTCAGATAACAATATCATCAAAATGTAATTCTGACATAATATTATGTAATATTATATTAAATTAGCACATATACAAAATAAAAAACATTTTAAAAAATTGTAAGTACTCGATATAATTAACAATACAATATAAATAAACAATTATTACATACTGACCATTCTACTTACGTATAATCTATAATAACAAAAACTGACCGCGCAAGCGCAAAGCGCGTTTATACCAACTGCGCATGCGCGACTCTACTATTACCGCGCATGCGCGAAGACATAGAAGTAGCGCACAATTTTTGTTTGGAATAGCTTCTCTAGTACGTAGTACATTATAACTCAATGTAGATAAACATGTTTTTTTTTCATTAGTTGTTCATTATTTGACTTTCCAGTTATTTTAGCTAGGAACTTAATTTAGACCATAAAATTCAACATTCCAATATGATCTCTATAGTGTCTAAGACTATTATATTCATAAAATGTCTTA